TTTCTTTATCTGTGCTGTCTTTGTCGTTCCTTAATAATTTGTACAGGTTAGGAGCTCTCTTGAAAATTAACTTGGACGTTTTGCGGGCTGAGATTTCCTTCATGATGGCTTTTCTCTTTCTATCATAAGCGAACTTTGTGATTTTGCCAAAATTGCAGTTTTGTGCTTTAGTTTTGTTTAATTTGTATTTTCTGGTCAATGTTGTTATCATATCTTCTCTGTACCCTAGCGATCTGGCAATATGTACTATTCTATTAATTTCTTTTTGCCTATCCAACACACTACTGTAATAGAGAAAGGCCCTTTGGCTAAGGGCACGGAAGGCAGCCATTTTGTATTGGTAAGGATCATTAGAGTGGGACAGAATGTACAGAGAGCTATGCGTCGGTTTTACGTACACATTAGTGGCCAAATGTCCTTTAAATTCAATGTCAACATCTATTGATGAGTTTATTAACATGATCAACAACAATGATGATGGTCTCATGCTGAAGATTGAACAAAAATGTGCCTCAAGGATACATTTTTTACATGTTGACAATGAATTTAAAGAAGGACATTTGGCCACTAATGTGTACGTAAAACCGACGCATAGCTCTCTGTACATTCTGTCCCACTCTAATGATCCTTACCAATACAAAATGGCTGCCTTCCGTGCCCTTAGCCAAAGGGCCTTTCTCTATTACAGTAGTGTGTTGGATAGGCAAAAAGAAATTAATAGAATAGTACATATTGCCAGATCGCTAGGGTACAGAGAAGATATGATAACAACATTGACCAGAAAATACAAATTAAACAAAACTAAAGCACAAAACTGCAATTTTGGCAAAATCACAAAGTTCGCTTATGATAGAAAGAGAAAAGCCATCATGAAGGAAATCTCAGCCCGCAAAACGTCCAAGTTAATTTTCAAGAGAGCTCCTAACCTGTACAAATTATTAAGGAACGACAAAGACAGCACAGATAAAGAAAAAAGAGCAGGAGTATACAGGATTCCATATGAAAATCGTGAACTAGACATTAATAAAAATTATATTGGTGTCACTAATAGAAGTTTAGGAGTCAGATTAAAAGAACATAAATACAATATCAGCAAGGGATCTAATGCCACAATACTATCGCAATTGGCGCAAGTTGAGGGCTCAATCGTCAAATGGGACGAAGCAAGTATTATTAAACCAGTACATTCACCGACATTGGCGATTTGTGCTGAAAAAATTGAAATATATAAGAGCAGATTGCATGATGCACGCATTAATTCTAGAGATTCTGAAGGGTTGCCTTTGGCCTGGAAATACTTAATCAAAAGATTAGACAGCTCTTAATTTAATGCCTTGATTTTAGTATTTTTTTGCATATCTTGCATTTCATTGAATTTCTACCAGGTGTATAAGCTTAAATCCGCTTTTTGCTAATAGATGGCGTAAGCAAGCGTATTAAGTTACCATGACGACGCCATATTGTTTTGTTGATGATTTTGACGTCTGTCAACATTAATCAGTGCACATCATCAGATATTTCATACAACAACATATATTTTTTTTTTGTAATCATGTCTACTTTCGTGCCAGAAAAAGAGCATATGCGGCAAGCTTTACTTTTCTGCTTTAATTTGAAGAAATCAGCTGCCGAAGCACATCGAATGCTTGTGGAGGCTTATGGAGACAGAGCTTTATTGGAAACCACGTGTAGAGATTGGTTTCGTCAGTTCAAAGATGGAAATTTTTACCTGAGCGACAAGAAGCGTGAAAATCGGCCCAGGAAGGTTGAGGACCATCAACTGCAGGCTCTTTTGGATGAGGACGATACCCAATCGCAAAAAATGCTTGCCGAGCAATTGGGTGTTACTCAACCAGCCATTTCCATGCGTCTACGTGCCATGGGAAAGATTCAGA